AAAACGAAACAACACCACGTGGACCAAACATAAATCAACAAAACCAAACACAAGCCCTCATAGATAAAACAAAGCCTATATAACCAAACAAGCCTATAAAGACCATCAAATAAGTAAACGTAGGTCCACTGACAGCGATTTCGGGAACGCAAACAGCCATCTGTACATGCGACATAGAAATCCCTGCGTGTGGTTTAAGTCGATGTTACAATACTGAACCGTCTTTATCTTCTCAAGTCTTAATTATTCTCCATGGAATCGCCCACAACTAACTTGGTTATGCTTCCTTCCTTCCTTCATTTCCGGTCGTCTGCAGAAGGAGATGGTTCTGTTTTCCGTATTCAGCCAAGTATCTCTTCATCTGCTCCATTCCTTGTTTGTCAACAGCTTTCATTCCTTTTGGTTGTCTGCCGCCATTTTATAACCGCTTTAAGTTAACTCCCCTTGGTTAAAGATGGCCGTCCGAGTGGATCGTTAGCATTAAGAAAAAGGGGGGGGGGGGGAAAGGGGGAGGGGGGAAAGGGGGGGGGGGGTGTAGATTTCCTGTTTCGAGATTTTGATTTTCGGTATCGTTTTGAGGAATAATAACAATGATGTTGACAACTCCTAAAGAATCTGGTCCTCTAGTTAGTTTGGGGGTTGAAGCGTAGGGTTGACATCCAAACCTTAGTAAAACTTAACTCCGTCACCAAACAAATATCTAGGGCTCGATTTCGGAAGGATTTGAATAGTCAACGAAAGGGGGATGTTAAAGAATTTTGAGATTTGGAACAGGAAATGTACAAACCGTTAAAAGAACTGGAGCAGCTGATGAACTGACTTGTGAGTTATCTGAATACAGAATGGATATAACAGCGATCCCAGAAATAAGACGACCAGGACAGAGTACCATAGAGAAAAATGGAATGATCCTAGTGTATGGAGGAAACACTCAAAACAAACATGAACTAGGGACAGGATTTATTATTAAAAAAAAGTTGTGGGGAAGTATTATAAATTGTAAACCTGTAGCGGTTATTGACTGGATCAGTAAGTTACGAATAAAATGAACAGGAAAAATATGTCGATGGTTAATGTGCATACACCCATTGAAGACAACAGATTTAACAGAAAAAATATAAATAAACAAACCTGACAATCACGTGACAAGATAACTTAATGATCACATTTTAATAAACAACATAAATGCATCGAACATAGTACAAGATTTTTTTTTCCCATATATCCAGAAACCATAAGTTGTTAACCTTTTGGCTCGGCACTATGGATATCGCAACCCTTCGGCCTAGATTGCATGATAAATACAGTAAATGTGGGAGAAATGTGACTTTTCTGCCTATCCCCGAGCGTGAACCCGGTCGTCGTGAAGTCATGTTTAACCAACTACACTAGAGAGCCGGGCATACGACAAGTTAAAAGCTACAAGCGTGCCGAGTGCCATAGTAATCACCACCTGGTTGGTGCAAAATTAAAAAATCAAGCTTAAGAGATCCTTGTACACCAAGTTGCAACGATCACATCTGGAGTACAATAGAGTAGGATTACAAGAAACATCCATATCAGAGAAATTTGCAGATGAATTAAAACACAATTAAAATAAATAACAATGAGGCAATATGCAAGGTAAAGAATACTTTGATTGACTTATTAAATTTTGAAACTCCACAAAGTACCTATCCAGGAAGAGATACAAAAATATGAACCAAATACTGAAGAGCTTGATTTGGAAGAAGTACTGTATCTCATTACAGTGCTAAAAAAAAAAAAAAAGCAACTGGTGCTGATGGAATTACTGCTAAACTTAAAAAAGAAAGTGACCATGTATTACATTAAAATATATATAAATTAATAAAACTAGATTGGAAGACAAAGAAATTATCCCATGACTGGAAAGAGTCGTTACTAATACATATTTTTAAGAAAGGAGACAAGTATAAATGTGACAATTATAGAGGAATATCACTATTATCTACAGGCTGTAGATATTATCGGCTTTACTGCTAAACAGGCTAAAATCATACGTTGAATTAAATTTTGGCAAAATCTATCCAAAGTATTTCAGGATCTTCGGCGGTGCTACGGATTTCGTGCACTGCAATGAGATTCTTCGGACTCAGGTTTGAGCTAGAAGTAGAACGGAGCACTAATGTGTTATTACCTTTGTGCCATGACGTTGATCCGTCATCTAAACCCAAATCTTTACGTTAAATAGCAGACCAAAATTGAGAATACAGTTTTTTGGATTTTAAAAAGGAATATTAATGTGTTCCAACTGCCTCTCAGAAACAATACTGCAGCGCTTAGTAGAGGGAAAGAAGAGAAGAAGCAGAACAAGGAAGATCTGGAAATAACAAATCACTGACTGGACAGGCCTCAGGCATGCAACCATAAAGTCCATCGCAACTGACCGCCAAAGGCCGGGAGAGAGCTGATCAGACAGTCAACAGAAACTGGTGACACAGCATTACGGGATGATGGTGATGATGATGGTGATACGACAGTGATCTTAGAAACAGTTTATGGAATACTATGAAGGACTTTGGAATACCAAAGAAGTTAATCACCAAGACCAAACTATGTATGGAAGACACACAAAATAGTAAGACATAAAGGCAAAAAGAGAGACTTTTTCAGATAACATCCGATTTAAAGCAAGGTGATGCACTGTACCAGCTTCTGTCCAACTTGGCCATGGAGAAAATGTTAAGGAAATTGAAAGAAGATTGTACTACTGGAAAAACTACAAGAATACAATCTAGAATACAATCTGGAAATAAAATATACAATGCCCTTTAACATCTGCTAAAGTCAAAATGTCTGTCTCACAACACCAAGATCAAAATATATAAAACGTTGATAAGAGCAATCGTTTTATATGGCTCCTAAACTTGGAGCACATCTAAAAGAGATGAAGCCTTATTAGAGGTTTTCGAATACAAAGTCTTACGACGAATCCTTAGATCCATCAAAGATGCAAACAACGGGCAATGGAGAGTGAGAAGCAACAACGAAATTTATCATCTGTTTAAATCACAATTGATCACTGGCATTATGAAGGCTAATAGATTTAAATGGTTGGGGCACATTGAAAGAATATCAGATGACAGAGAGGTAAAAACTGTATACACAAGAGAACTGAATGGTCGTAGACAACGAGGCAAATCGAGAAGAGAATGGAGAAATCAAATGCAGCCAGATTTACAAACGCTTGGTGTCACCAACTGTACAGAGATGAACGAAGACGGGTGATGTTTGCAGCAATGAACATCAAGGGCTCGGAATACTGAAGAAGAAGTCCAAAATAATCGCAGCACCGCTGTAAACGATAACAGCGTGGAAAAGTCCTTTTAAGAAAAGGAATAAGCAGCAGCAGCAGGAAAAAAAAAAGATGACTGCCGTCTGCGTTTGACTGTAGGCTTTTGAAACACAAGGACCGACGTCCGCGACATCCCAAACCTAAACTGAACCACAACTTCCAACCCCATGTGCAACCACTCTCCGGTGGAGACGCCCTAACTGCTTGTATACAGACTAATTCCAGCAAATGTCTTAGTACCCTTCCAACATCACGAATGTAAGACATTCCGCTGGATTCCAATCTGTGATTCCAATAAGTATGTCTGGTCTACCCAGACCATCTCAGCTGCCAATGTTATGCCCGTACTTAATTGCCAATCTAATGATTGCATGAATGATTAATGATCGTTATGTACGATCGATATGAGGTGATCGATGCGCTGCCACTTGACTAGTGTTTAAATCCGCCATTTACTAGGCTTCTCTGGTAGAGTTTTCTACCCTAACCAGGAAAAGATAAATCGCGCCATGTCCTTAAATGTTACAAAGATTGATGTCCCCTTGACAAGCTCATACGCCCGGTTGGTGTGAACGGTATAGATGGTTGTATGGTCAAAGTAGGGCACAGGGGCGTCTTTGGTAGAGTACTGATGGAGGCAGGGTGAAGGAACGTCCTTACTCTAGAGTACTGGGGGAGGCAGGGCACAGGGGCGTCTTTGTAGAGTACTGGTGGAGGCAGGGTGCAGGGGCGTCCTCGTTATAGTACTAGAAGAGGCAGAGTGCAAGGGTGTCTTGAGTGAGGTACTGGGGGAGGCAGGGTCCAAGTGCTTTGTCGGTAGAATACTAGAGAGGGCAGGGTGCAAGGCCGTTCTTACTCTAGAGTACTGGGGGAGGCAGGGTGTAGGGGTTTTGTTGGCAGAGGAGTACTGTGCGAGGCAAGATGGAGGGAAAGTTTTGGTCGAGGAGTACTGAAGGTGACCGGCGGCCAGGAAGGCAGATAATAGTAGCCTTGTAACCCAACACGAATTTTGTAAAAGGCGATTAACGGGTACTGGTATAACTCCGTTTGCTGGAGAACTTGACAGTAGAAGTTTGCGAGCATTAATCAATCTTTACAGAGATTTGCATTGACATGGTGATGCGTTCATTTGAGAGACGAAATTAAGAGAAAGCGAAAGAGCAAGGAAAATAGGAGGAATAGAGTGGTAGGAGGAGGAGAGAAAGAAGGGTGGAGTGGGGGCAGAAGGAAGAGGTGGATAATAATAATAAGAATAATAATAACAATAGTAGTAGTTCAAGGTCAACGATATTTACTTACCTCCATCCACAGAAGAGTTTGTGTGACCATGACTCTCATCTTCACTACAGCCACGCCCACTGTCACTTGTTCCGGTGTCTCCCGAGGACGCATCGCTGTACCTGTCTTCCGTCTGTCTGACCTCCATAAACTGGCGCTCGTCCTGAAAATCAAAGTAGAGGAAGTAAAGGGACGTGTTTTCGCCAGTGGTGCACTGGTATTTATACTTGAACATAAATGAGAGTTTGAGTAAAGTTGGTTCTAACAAAAGTTCGGAGACCAAACAGCAGTTACTCAACGTGCACGTCTCCTGTTTGTAGAAGGTGGATCTGCTCGATTATGGGCTATGTCTTCTTTAACAGAACTATCTGCGATTGGGAGTTAACGCGCTTCGTATAACTCGGGT